TCATAACGTTATCATCTAAAGACAATGCTACAATCATTTACCATGTGAAATATTAAATGAATTGCTTGCTTCCATAATGAGATAAAAGAACAAGTGTGATTTCTAATTTAACATAGAAATCCCCATAGGCAATTTTAAGTGACTCATAAAACCGGAAGTACTCTTCATATGCATACCAAAATGGAAACATAGAGAGCTTATTCCCTTTCAAACAGGTGAACAAAGGGAGATAACTCTTACACAATTTTTTAAAAATGATTATAAAATTACTTAAAAATACATTATTTCAGGCCTCTTAAACTCCTAAAGGGGTCAACAAGTGACCCCACGGACCAATTTTTTTAAATTGTCCTTTTTGTGCTTAACTCAAATCTGAAAACTGTTTGAAAATTTATTGAGAAATAAAAAAGTTACAGACAAAAGTTTGTTTTCAATGATGGCCCCTAAAAATCCCTTATTTTCTCGATTTTCATTTTCAGAGTATTTTCAGGTAGGAACAGTATCAACGTCATTGTAAACTTAAAATTTCACAAAGAAATTTTCATAACTTTAAGAATTTAACATAGAATTCCCATAGACAATTTTCAAAGACCATAAAACTGGAAGTTCTGCTCTGGTTGATATGAAACTTACAATATATGCTCTAACTAGTTCAAGCATATTTCTATGCTTAGAATAATTTTCGCAACGTTATTGTGACATTTGAAAAAAATCCCCCCCCCCCTCCTTTTGCAATGTTTGATGTCTTATATCTCGAAAATCTCTGTAGTCAAAAAAGTGTATGCAAACTTTTTTGATAGAACTTGAATTTCAAAACTTGTATTTTTCTGTTTCGGAGCTTAGGCATTTAAAATAAGAAAGATTTAGGCGTTTTAAGGTAAGGTTTACGTCTCCCTCCAATTCATATTTTTTTAAATCTGCAAACATGCTATATATCAATTTATTCAGGGAGATTAGCACCATCATTTAATATGATTTTCAAAGATATTGCCTGTCCCATTTTTTGAATAAAAGACGCCAAATTTAACGTATTTCATATTTCACCTTGAATATTATTCTCATTGAAAAAATTGATTTATTTTATAAATTATCGAACTTATATAATTAAAATGACCTGAATTAGTATTATTCATGCTTATATTATTTAAAATTTTAATTTTCCGTCATCAAAAATGTGAAAATATGGGTAAAAAAGATTTTTCAATTTTCCTTGATAAAGTGAAACCGTTGCCATGGCAACAAAAATATATAAATCAGCATTTTACATATCTACCGATTTCATCAAAATCCATGAAGTTATTAATCTGATCAATTTCATTAAATTGAACTAAAAAAATATGTATGTCCCCAATATTATATCCATGGAAACAGGGGCTATATTATGGGTTCGAAACATAAAAATCAGGGTTTTTCTACACTTTGAAAGACAATATTGATATCACGTTGTCATGGTGTACTCATCAGACTAAATGTTATTTTTGATAATGCATAAATTGGCCAAAAATATTTAAAATAACACTCCTTCTGTGCTACATGATGGTCTAAAAATTTATTCCATGGAAGAACTCTAGTATTTATGGCAATCTTTACATCTGAATATTCTGATGAAATTGTCCATGAATTATACTGCAACACCTTTAGAAATACACTTGTATATGTATATAAACACACTTCAGAACATGTTGCAACTAAACCAGTTATAAGCCTATGAATTTTACCTCATGCTGATTTAGTCATTCCAACATGTGTTAACTTCTAGACATCTTTGTAGCAAAATTTCTGTATTCAGCTATGGCTGGTGACTTTGTCATTACACATGTATGCCATTTTTTTAGTGAAATGTTGTAAGCATTGCATCCACGAAGCTGCTGCTTTTATTATTAAATGATTTCTTTCCTTTGAAAAGTAGAAATGCTATCTTTAATGTAATGTTTGTTTGCCCTCTCTTGACTCAGAGTAAAATTATTGGGTCGGTAAGTGAGAAAATCTTCAACAACATATTTTTTAAGGAGATAAGAGGAATGAAAAGAAAAAAACTACGGTCCTGCATTAAAAAAAAGTTTTGAGTCTGGCCATTTTAGTCAGTCGGTCGGGAGAGGCCGGCAACCAAACATTTTTTAAAGATGGCCTAACCTATTTCTACACTTCATGGACATTAGATCAATCATTGGATTAGGTAATCTGAGAATCTAAATTGAAATGTCTGAAAGCACAACATAAAGATGAATTCTAAGTGACATCAGTTCATACTTTAATGAATTTACAGTGTACTACTGTTTTCAGAGAAAAGGCTAATTCTGCAAAATGACATAACACTGTCATAAATATTTGTCAAGAACAGAACAGGGAAAAAGAAAGAATGCTACAGTGACAGATATATCTCCTGGATATCCAAGAAATAATAATTTAAATAAAACAAAATTTTCTACTTTTTAAAATCAAAATAAAGAAGAAAATTAAAAGATTATAAATGTAAACAATTTTAAAATAGAACTACTCGTACATGTATTTATGAAAGATTTTAATTTTAGTAGAGTACTAAACTGGTCTTATCATTCCCACTAATGAACAACCTTACAACTTCCAAGTGTCATGTTTTAAACTGTTACAGTAGATATAATTATACATGTACACTGCAACTTTATGTACAAAACTCATCAGTTTTCAAAAATACTTATATGAGAACAAAATTTCATATATTAATTTCCTTGCAATTTCACAAACCCTTTTTAAAAACTTGTTAAGTATATATAGACAAAAGCAACCTTCAATCAATACCTATGATGTATACATTCATTTTACTGAAAACAAGTTCAAAGATGGACAAACAAAGCATGCATTGCAATCATCACAGACTCATTTTTTCTAAATATATGGAAAACAGCACATATATACTAGATAGGATGTTGTAAAAACATTAAATTTTCTTCTATAATCTATAGACAGATAAAAATATGCATTGTGTATAACAAGTCAGAAGTCTTCTCCAAATCTCCATTGATTTTGTCATGTCTGGTTGCAATCTAATTAAAATTAGATGTTAGATCCGCTCGTATACTCGCTACACTAACATCTGACAACATCCCATACAGGGCCACGTCAGAGTTCAAACTCTATCAACCAATCAAATTGTCGCGTGCAAAATCATTGTATATTTGTTGAAACGAATAAGTCTAGAGTTGTTCCAAATTTGACCTCTGACGTGACCCTGTATGGGATGTTGTTAGATGTTAATGTAGCGAGTATGCGAGCGGATCTAACATCTTATTTTAATCAGATTGATCTGGTTCAACACCTTAGCTTGATTCATCCAACTTTCTTTTCTTCAGCTGATATAGGATGACCTCTACTTTGATTGATGGCACAGATCTTTTAAGGAAACACTGAAGTACTTTTTTTGGTTCTTATCTATATTCCAATTAATGACCCATAATCTGAAATCATATGTGTTCATTTTTGCAATAAAATTTAAGGAAGGAGAAAACTCAATGAAATGAATAAATTTCCAATATAATCAATGAAGAATCAATATGGAACTATTGTAAAATTTACAGATTGAATTAGTTAAATGCAAATGCTTGATAAAGAATATTCTTGTCATGCAGCAGCACAATCTGTATCTCTTTTTTTATTAATTAGAAAATGAGATATTAATAAAAATCAAACTTCAGTTACAGAAAGTAACTTGAACAGTTGAATGCATGTTCCAATGTTACAAATATTTAGGCCTAAAAAAATAAGTATTTTATTTTAAATAATTTCTTGAATGACTGCATTTCTTTTTTGGCAGTGTTGGGATATTAGTCACATCCTGACATCCTCGTACTATTCATTCATCGTTTTCAAATCCGTAGTCAGTAGATCATTCATAACTTTCAGTAAAATGAATAGTTAAATAATTACCTGATGAAAATACTATCAACAATCAAACTGTCAACATGATCATTGAACATGGTCAAATGCACCGTGACTTTTCTTCCCTGTTCGGACTGCATATAAAGTAACACTTTACAGGATACTCTCAGGTCTTTTCTTTTTTTCTTTCCCATTGTCACCTAAAATTTTAGTGCAGTGGAGAAGCGAGAAACACACAATGCGTCAATGACTCAATCTCTGTAAAAAAAAATATATTTACTTTTTAATGCATGTTCAAGATCATATTCAGCACTTATTCTGATTATTTAATAGTTGCAGTGGACTGTGCCTGAGACGGTTTCCCACAGTGCCGGCGTTTATAGTCAGCTTGTGAAAATGGTGAGAACCATGCAGCTTAAAATTTCATATAACACATATAACCTAGCATTGTTTTTTTAGTAACTTGTATATTTTAGCATAAGACTATAAAAAAAATATTGCAACAACTTGAACTACATGTACTATTTACCAAGTAAACAAGACGAGGTTTATATTCTTAATTTCCTTATCCTAAAAATACAATAGCAATGGATTCTGATAGGTAATCTAAACATACTATGAATTGCACAGAGCTATGCATAATTATTTTACATTAAATACTTAAGCATAAATTATTAAAAATAGCTATCATATTCTATGATGCACAATTATACATGCATTATTTACAGGAATCCGAATACTCACAAGAAGGACAAACCAGTATGAAAATTAACACAAAGGTAAGATTTCTTAAATTTTCTGATAAGATCAATAAAATCACATGAATTGAATTTTTTTTAGCTCACCTGAGCTATTTTAAGACCCAAGCAAGTTTTCTGATCAGTGTCTGGTATTCGTCTGTCATCTGTAAACTTTTCAAATCTTTACATTCATCAGAATTCATCCTAATTTGAAAAAAAAAACCTTCAAGATACAACTTTTCTTTCAGAAATTGTGCCAGAAAAGTTTGAAGTATCTATGGGAATGATCTGACAACACCGAACTTGCTGAGCCTTCCTTCTTAAAGTGACATGACTAGATATTAAGCTACCCAGTTTTAGATACGAACTAATCATTTGCTGTATGACTTATTGTGTATGAGATTACCACCATTTACTGGAACTTTGAATTTCCTGTCCACTTTAAACCCCTGCTATCTACAATGTAAGTTGTTAATATATTTTATTTTATGTTAAATCACTTGCTCATTATCCCAATAACTTGCATGTTAAATGCTGTAGATGCTAACCTTTGCATTTTCATAAACTCTTAAATTCTACGTGTTCCGAGTATGGTGCGCCATTATGTACATCCGTTTCGTATCATGTTTTTTCGTCTCTAAATTTGATCTTATACATATTATCATATGTTTTTGAAATAATTCGCTGAACTAGATCACAAAAGTTTAAGGATTTTATTATTGTATGAATGTTATCTACCTGCTCTAATCATAAATACATCTGTTTGTATATTTTTTCTATGAAATGCCATACCTGTTATTGATTTTTTATTTTTTTATCCATAGTATCTTTCTGCTAAATGAAATAAAATACTGTGGAGGAACACGGAGAAAAGGGCACCTCAACATGTTCAAGGTCAAGCAGGTAAACACAGTGGTAAAATGCTCAAAAAAGATGACAAAAAGTTACTAGTCCCCAATTTACATGTACATCCACAAAATCTGTAGCTTGCTGGTCTGAAACTATAGATACGTATGTCTCTTAATATGTTGAATGCTGTAAATGCTATTATTTGCATTTTCGTAAATTTTGTAAATCTTTGATTTCCATGTGCTCGGAGTACAGTACCATTATGTATATTTCGTATCATATTTTGTAGTCTATAAATTTGATCTATACATATAATTATATTTTTTTTTTATGTAATTCTCTTAACTAGATGACACAGAGAATTTTATCATTGTGTAAAATGTTATCTACTTGCTTTAGTCATAAGTACACCCTGTTTGTATATCTTTTCTCCTTTTTTGTATATTCTTTCTATGGAGAGCCATACCTGTTATTAATTTTTCATATTTTGTTTCTTACAGCTTTTTACCATATCCATAGTATCTTGCTGCTAAATGAAAGAATTATTGTGGAAGAACAGAGAAAAGGGCACCTCAACATGTTCAAGGTCAAGCAGGTAAACATAGTGGTAAAATGCTCCAAAAAAAGATGGGGAAAAAAGCATTAGTCTCCAATTTACATGAACATCAACACTAGCTTCAAAATTTGTAGCTCGCTGGTCTGAAATTATAGATAAATATTTTATTACCCAGACTTGAAAAAATGGCGTATCTTTTATGGTCTTCTGTAAATTCAAAGTTCTGATGTTAAGAGAACCACCTAGACTAAAGAAATATTATATGGAACAAAACTCACAAACCCCTTTCTGTGTCGTACAATTGTTTCTTTTTAGAACTACATTGCAATCAATGTAATCACACACAAATGTAAACACATCACCCCATACATGTAATATTAAATAGACCGCCATATACACTTTCTTTTAAAATCTAGATAGGTTCAAAAATATTTCAGTTGTCAATAATTAATCAAAATTGAGCTGTGTTTCCTCTAGGTCAATTGATATGTTTACAATCAACCTAGAATTTGTGTACTAGATAATATATGCATAAATCCGGAAGCACACATAAAATATGTATATATAGGCAAATGGGTATTTATTTGTATGTTTGTTGTAGAAATTAGGAGCTACATGTGCTTCTCCAGAGCTGAAAATTTCTTGGGATGAAGAGAAGAAAAAGCAAGAAGAAGCAGTTTTAAATATTGATTACATCTTCATAGTACAAAAAATTATTCGAAAGATGATACTATCTATGAAATTAGAAAGCTGAAGTGGCGTTCTGATGAATGTGAAAAAGTCCTTAAAGAACAGGACACCAAAAGTGCCACTCTCAAATCAAAACACTCTGAAAGGCAGAGCATAAGAAGAACTAGGACAAATAAAGAATCTAAAAGAGTCAAACCTAATGATGTAGAGATTGAACAGAAATGGGCTATTAGAGATCAAATATCTAAGTTATTATTGTTTTGCACAAATGTGATGTTTTTTTACTTAACTTTAATTGACACATTCAATGTTAGATAAGAAAAATATACCTAGTGTTGTATTTTTGACAGTTAAAGTTTTTTTTTCTGATACTTCATTACAGATTAAAACTGTTATATTTTTTATTGTTTAAACATTGATTGGTTTATTGTGTAGTATGCAATCACATACATTTTTATCTTAATTTATAGAATACATATATGTACAAGTTTGACTTAAATAATAAGTGCATGGACATTTATTGTGGAAAAAAATAAGACAATCAAGGGTAGTCTTAAAGAGCTTTGCTGGCAGTAAGTGGCAGATCTTGATACCCAAGTAAGAGAAAGGTGGTGTCTCTGACCGATCCTTTTGCTCTTGCTTGTGGGCGAGTGAGGCTTCTCTGTCAGTGGCTTAGTGTGTCATAGATGTAAAAAGTAGATTAAGCAGATGAGGTAGAGACATTTCTGAGTAAAAAAGGGTGAATCGTGATTTTAAAAAATATTGTATTGCAAGAGTAATGAGAATTGAAAGAGTAAAATATTAATTTGTTTTCTTCCATATGAAGTAAAAGAGTTTATGACATGAATTTTTTGCATTAAGATTAAATTGTAATTAAGGCTAAAAAAATTGTTAAATATACTTGTACATATGTTTATACTGGAAATTTTATATGTACATGTTTCCGAGCTCATTCATGATTGATTGATTGATTGTATATTGTTTAACGTCCCTCTCGAGAATTTTTCACTCATATGGAGACGTCGGCTCATTCTTGAAATTTTGAGGCAAAGTGTAGAAGATTAATGACTGAAAAAAATATCACTATCAAAATGTCCTGCATTCCAGTGTAAAATGAGGATATGTTAAAGTTATAATCATCAAGCAATAAACCTAGCAGTTGGAACAAATATGGGGTATTAGAGACAAATTATCAGCTGTTACTATTTTGTGTAATTATGACGCTGTTTCTTTAATTTGAATTGACATAACCAAATGATATAAAAGATTTTTTTATTTACTGTACTCAGTTAAAGATTTAAAAGCTGTCATATTTTTATTGATACCAGATCGACTGGCTTATTGTGTCGCACACATGTACATACACCTTTAATCTCTGATTTATTGCCATGTTTTTACAATTTGATAATTAGTGCATGGACATCTATTGTGGAAATACTTGGGAAACAATATAAGGGTAGTCTGAAAGAGCTTTGCTGGCAGTAAGTTGCAGATCTTGATACCCAAGTAAGAGAAAGGTGGTGTCTCTGACCGATCCTTTTGCTCTTGCTTGTTGGCGAGTGAGGCTTCTCTGTCAGTGGCTTAGTGTGTCTTAATAGATGTACATGTAAAAAGAATGGGCATTTTTTATTGCCAACTTTTATTCTTCTGTGCAAAGTATGATATGATTTTTTGTGGGAAATTGAAAAACCATTTACAACCCATGCAGCAGTTTCAATAGGGATAGTTTCAGTCACAGGTTTTGCAGTCTTTTGGAGTCAAGAATGACTGCATTTTTTTTACCTGTTGTGTTCTGATTTATTGCAGATTTAAATTTTACATACAATTCTATTTTTATAATTATTTTGTTATTGATTTGTTTGGACATGATGACCCATTGTTGTCAGGGTATCTTAAATTAATAAAATTTTAATTCCATATTAAGTGTTTTGTAAAATACAAAATTATTTCACTTACTTAAGTATTATTTAGTACCTACTACTATTATGCAAAAATTTACTCCATTATAATTGAGCTATATTCTTGATTGTAAATTTTTAAATGCTGACATTTAGGCATTAATTATGAAATATCTTATACTTTGTTAGAACTCATTGTTTGTACACAAATAACATAAAATAAAATTGAACGAGAAGTGGATTTGTATATTGTAAAATACTTGCGAAAAACAAAATTATAATCCATACGAAATAATGATGGAATAAGTATTAAATAAAAAAAATTAATATGCAATGATATAATTATATTAAATTTCATCTAATACAACCATAAATCTTAATGATATGGGAAGGTTTAATCCATATATTTCATCACATATACAAGCGATTAAATATCAGTTTATGAAAGATAAAAATTTGAACGTATTAGTAAGTTTACAATTCTCCGTATGTAACTTAATTTTTGGAAGTATTATAAAGTAAAGTGTGAATTAAACAAAAATATTGAGGTAAAGTTCTACGTTAAATTTTATTAAACGATCAAATTTAATATAACCATAAAACGTTTATTTTATGGGCATGTTTAATAATAATTATACGTTTTGTATACTCGAAATATAATATTTGTTTACGGGAGACTTAAATCCGAGCGTATTAGTAAGTTTACAATTTTCAAAACTTTATTTAATTTGTTCTTTTAATTTTCCATTAAACTCGTATTAAATGCTTATTATTTTCTAACGTTTACGATCCCACAATATGTTATACTGTGCATTTAAACATTTAATAATCGCAGCATTTAAATTGCATTTAAGGTAAAAGTAAACCTGATTTTTCATGCAGTGCCACAAAAACCGCGTTTATTACAAAGGACTATCATAATCATTTTATTCAACCCAAAACTGAAAGAAACCAATTGCGCAATTTTGACTTTGGAGTCGGTAAACTTTATGCTGTGTTCCTCTCACTGGCGCATGCGCACGACACTTGACTTATTTTTCGGCGTAGTTGCCTATGCCCAATATACCCATGGATTGAAAGATAAAGACTCTGATGAATTCAATGCAAAGGAATATAAGTTTCAATAACTCATAAATTATCAGAGAAAATCAAATGGGATTTTGGTTACATTTTCTTTAAAGATTTTTTAAAAGTAAGATAGAAATACTGAAAAAAAAAAAGAAATTAAATTCACCTCAAAAAGTTTACCCTGCGTTTCTTTTTCATTTCAGTATATGCATATCACTACTAAGTCGAAAACGTACTGACATTCCCATTTTTTACTGACAAACTTAGAAAATTACTGACAATGTGCTGTCGTTACTGTAAAACTTAGACAATTACTGACCTTTTTACTGCCGGTACTGATAAACTTAGAAAAGTACTGACAATCTAAGTCGGTGCTGAAAAACTTAGACAATTACTGACCCGTTTACTGTCCCTGCTGAAAAACTTAGACAAGTGCTGACATTTACTGATAATTACTGTCCCTATTGTTCTCGCTCTCGGAGAGGCTGCAGAGGTGTGAAATTGATTTCTGTTTTAAATTTTAACATAAATTATTATTCAATTTATTTGTTTTTTCAAATAATCTTAAACTATGTCCAGATGATATCTTTGAAAAAAAAATGCATCTTTGATCGATTTATAGAAAATTTATTTGTAAAGAATATTTTCAAGAGAAGGAATAAAATTTCAAAACCTTCAAAAAGATAAACAAAAAAAAATCTTCGTTTAGTAGTAAGATACGAAATTTTACAGAGGTCTTTTCCTTTTTATAATAAAACATTGTTATAATATGACATGCATTTCATAGTATTTTCTTTATTAAAATTAACTCCCTGACTTAAGATTTCTTTAATATTAAGTTAAAGAATTAAACTATTAGTTTAGATGTGTTTTATTAAATTTTAATTTAATTTACTCAAATTAGCTTGAATAATTCTAATAAACTCATAGCGCGCGGTGAGGCCGTGGGTGGCCCCTTTTGAGGAAAGGGGTTTGTTATAGTTTTCATATTATATCAAATTTTTAATTATGTGGAGGCCGCCTAAATTTGTTTTTTGTCCAATTAAACATACCCGAATCAAATCATTTGCAAGTACAAACAAAAATTAAAACACAGACGGGAGATTTAAATTAAAAAAAAAATAAGGGGAGGGGGGGGGGGGGCTACGGGCCTCCATTGATCATTGATCCTTTGACATTCATTGATTTAGTTACTGTCCTCATTATTCTTTTGAAACAATGTACATCTTTTAGCTGATTTTTTAAACTGGATTTTCTGGATCCCCACCTGAAAGTGTTATTTTAATTCAAATACATGTAAAAGTATGACATTTTATATTATCATCATTTATCTATGCATACTCCTGAAACAATACTTTGATAGAAATAAATATCAATGTTTTTTTTTCAAATAGGCTGTCTGTAGACGTTCACATGGATCTACTTCCTTTCAAATTTAAGGGGGGGGGGGGACGTTCGAACTAAATGTAGAACGATGAACATGTATTTATTTATTTTACTAAAATAGAACACATAATACTATCGTGTTTAAGTTTGTACTCTTTTTTCTGTTTAGGTAAAAAAAAATAATAAATTTAATAAATCGACGTTTCATAGCTATGCTCGGTATCGAAACCAGTATAATGATTTTACAGTAACATTGAGCTTTTTATTCGTCAAAATAAGCTGGTATCCAGCCGAATTACATAATCTTTCAACAAACAATCGGAAACTCTGTGAAGCACCTGTGTGTAGAAGAAATCGCCTGAGGCGATCCGAGTGTGTACGGTAGCGGGTAAAGAAGACAATAGGTGTCACTGCAGCATTATACAGAAGAGCACTCGCCGGATTTCACTGGAAGTTAGTTACGCAACATTACGGCGACAGGTAGACTCTTCTGAAACCCAGTTTGAATTTGAGAAATTCAACACCAACACATACGTAACATAAATATAAAATTCTTCAACCTCTTCTTAGATTAAATCAATTATTTTTTTTTTAAATATACCGACGTAAGATAAATGAAAAAGAAGAATGATGTGAAAGCCAACTGGGAAAAGGCACAAACTTTTTAGAGAATTACGCAAAAATAAATATATGAGAAGGGGAACATTACATTCAATGTTTCGTAAAAATTACTGGTTCCTAATATTTTTTGTTAAGTCGTGTAAGTGTGGGTGTGGGACAGTGAAGTGAGGAATTTGTTTGATAACCAAATCAATTAAAAAATAGTTCATAGTATATTTTCTTAACTTTTTATCAGTAATTAAGAATAATTAAAGATCAGAAACAATTTATATGCAGCAATAACATGTCAGTAAAAAAAGTTCAGTAGGAGTTTAACTATATTTTTTAAACTTTCCCTGGGTCGATATTGATTTTTGGAGAGAGAGAGAGAGTGAGAGGGGGGAGA